ACGTTACTAATAATCTTTATTTTATAGCAATTTTTTTTCTTTTGAAAATATGTCAATGTGAGAAATTTAAATTCTGATTTTCAGCTTAAGAATTTCATTTAAAGAATTAAGAACGTTTTTTGGTTCTATCTAGCTTTTTTATTAAAAAAAAATCTTTTGTTATAGACGTTTTTATTATAACACAGAAGTTTTTAAGAGCATTTCTGTTGGATTTTTTTTTTTTGGGCTCTTTCTGGTAATTGGAAATCTGAGATGTTAAACTTTAAAATTTTTTTTCAAGTATTAAGATCGATTTTTATTTTCTCTATTTCGCTTTTGTATATAACCTTTAGTCTTTAAGATAGCACAGCATTTTCATAAGCGTTCCTGATACGCCTTATTTTTTAGGTTTAATTTATGACTACGTTTTTCAAAAAAATATTATTCCTAGCATTGAAATTTTGGTTTCAGTGTTGCTATGCTGCTTAAATATGTTGCTATATTCTGTATTCTGGCGACAATATTTACCGCATATTCGGTTTTCGACCAAATCACAATTCATCACAATTTCGACCAATTCCTATTCGTTGCCGGAAGAACAAAGAAAAAAGAACTAGGATCTACGATAAAACTGTACCAAAAAACCGCGTATAGCAGTAATTGGAGAAAAAAAAACTTACTTAAATTTAAGCTAAACTTAGCACGAATAAGGAGTGTCAAATGCACAATTTAAAATTCGCATGTTGTATTAAAATTATCAAAATTTTTTAAAGTTCGGGGGAATGCAGAGCAATAACTGCCGAATAAAATAGTGAAAAAAAAAACACTTACATTTACGATGAAATCATTACAAATAAATTGCAACAAAAAGTTATTATTTAAATTGGGGATCTGAAACTCGCTTGTCGTAATAACATCGTATTAAAAATTCGGGATTTTTGAAATCACGTTAAAAAAACTATTTAACAAAAAATCATTTATATTTACCATAAAATCGACTTAAAGAAAGGACGTTAAACATACATTTACTGTTGAATCTGTTAAAATTGATCTTGTCAAAACGTGATGTCTCAAAACTGTGATTAAAAATTTTTAAAATTGTTTTATTTTTTATTGTGTTTACAAGCTCTCGCGGGCCGCACTTCAGTAGTCAGCGGGCTGCTGGTTGTGCACCCCTATTTTGACGGTTTATTCATTTTAAAAGGATAATATATTTGTATAAAGAGAAAAAGAAGCATTGTTTTAGAAAAATGTTATATAATTCGCACATTTTTGCAAACTTCTTCTAGCTTTTATTAGAATTAAAATGTTTCATTTTGTCTAAAATAAGATAAATTATGGCACTTGGTGATTAAATTATACAGCTTTAGTTTAGAGTTCGTGTAAAATTTTGATTAGCTTTTTTTTTTTAAAACAGTGGTGATTGGTATTTTTTTATAAATTTTTTGCAAAATTAGATCTTTTTTATTTCTTTAATTTATGTTTTATTTTAAAAGAACATTTAAAAATTTTAAAATATATTCAAATAAAATTTTATCCTTTTTCTATATACTTAAATGTTTTGTACTAAAACTCAATTAAATTGTGATGAAAGAAATAAACCAACAGGTCTCTACAAATTTGTTGAAAGTATAAAAAAATTTAAAGTATGTAAAATTTGGTAATACTTAATCAGGGTGGCCACCCATCTAGAAAACCTGGAATTATGAGGGAATTTTTTTTATACTGGAAAAAACCTGGAAAAATCAGGGAAATATGGATAAAAACTTGGAAATTTATAGAAAAGCTGGAAATTTTTTCTTATATATTTTTTTAAATTTCTCTAATTTAAATTATTTGCTAATTTTCTTAATTTAAATTGTTTCATCCATTATACCCACATTTTTTAGACGGAAATGTATCTCCAAACAGTTAAAATATCATCAACTTACTTTGCTTTCATCAATATTTGCTCCATTATAACCCTGTTAAACTAGAATACAACATAAAATTCTCCCATGGTTGCTAAGCAAATGTAGAAACCTTTGATCTCTATGCAGACTATGGGACTGTGCAATTTAGGAAAGGCAAAAATTATGGTGTATGTGGAAGACGGGGTTAGGATTCGGTTTTTAAATTCTGTCCGTGTTCGCACAATGATTCAAGTTTGTTTGCAATTGAGAGTGGTAATTTTTTTCTATTTTGACAAAATGAGTCAAAATGTTTTTGTGTTTTTAACTTTATTAAATTCTCTAAAAATTAGTTGGTTATATTAACAGATTTTATATTGCACTCTTTTTCTGAAAGCTTTTGAACTCCCATTCAAAGAAATCTGTAAATTATTTTTTCTCAGCAAACCAACCAATCACGCATTTCCCCTCATCACTAACAGCAATGTTTGTCGACAAATTGTTACAATTCTTAATGCTAATTTTTTCTATTTCATTTTAACCTTTTATAGTATATTTTTATTTTGAAAAAAGTTTTTTTTAGAACTAACTATATATTAATATCATATTTTACAGTTTTGTTGGTAAATGTTAGTTTTTTTATTCAAAATTTGAATTGTATAGTTATCACAATATCGAAAGTTTGTAAATGTTGCTTTCATTCCAGAGATGATATTTCAAAACTATTCCTCTTTTTACCAAAAAAAGCTGACAATGATTAAGGAATATATAGGAAACATATTAAATGATGTATATACATAATATATAATTTTTTTTATTCATATGTGTTTAGTCAGGAGAAGGAAAACGAAACTTAGTGTTTTAGTACTGCACTGTACAAGATTCCAGTTGTTCAAACAAAAACAATTAACTATGCTAAAGTAAAAAACTGTGTGTTTAGATTGGAATTCTTTAAATGTTTTAATTTCAAATGAGAAAAAAAAAATCAAAAAAGTATAAATTTTAAGGAATTTTATCTATTTTTTTTCTTCTATAGAGTATAGAACTAAAAATTAGACAATTTTACATTTCTGTCATTTATTTTTTTATACTGAATCTCTTAAAATAAAAATGCTATTTCAAAATACCATTATTTAAAAATTTGACTTGAGATATTGGTTTAAGGAAAATGTGATCAATGAATTTTATGAAAAGCACTGGTAAGATGAAATACAGTATAATGCAGTATACAGTACAGCTCTATATTGAAATGTAATTACAATGATTCACAAAAGTGTTGATACACTTATGACTTTCAATGAAATAAGACTATCCATTAATTAAAATGAATGTTTCAGAATGTATATTTTATGATAAAAAATGTGTTCTAATCTTAACAAAACTGAAATATTTCAAATGACAATATGAAATATTTTAAAAACAAAGGAAAAGTTTATTTTTGAGGAATCAATCATCAAAAAGTGACAAAAACTTTATCCCACAAAAGTCATCATACACTTTTAAAGAAAAAACTCAGTCTATTAGTAAATCTAATTTTTCGTTAAATTAACATTTAGTGGAGTTTCCTTTAACATCTACAATAGCTTTTAAAGGTTGAAAATACATGTAACTAGTTTTTTTTTGTCAGGTGAAATTCGTGCAGAATATTTTTTTTTAAATTTTTGCAGAAACTTTTACAACACTCAATTGCAAATTTATGAATTTTTCCACAAAATTTATAATTTTAATCTCTGATATGAAGTTCTTCTTTTATGCATTTTATCACATATTGCACTGCTCAATTGAATACTGTAAACTAATTTAACATATTCATTACTGATTTACCTCTTATGAAGACAAATAATCAAATTTGGTCTATTTTATTACGACCACAAGTTATTTTTAAATGATAAAGTAAAATATTACGAAGTTAGCAAGCAAAAATTAAAATATAATTTTGCTATTATATGTTTGATACTAAATTGCTAATAAAGAAATAAAAAATTAAATGAAAAATAATTAAATAAAAAAAGCAATTGACGATAATTTTAATTCTGAGATCCAAAACATTTAAATGTGCGATGACTTTCGTGGGGTAACATTTTTGTTACTATTTGATTAAAAAATTAACTTTTGCTTTGTTTTTAAAATATTCCGTGCAGCTTTGCTAAGAATAGATTATACATCTTATTATCAAATACCCATTGTGAAATATTCATTTTAATTATTGAATTTTTATTTCCTATTTCAATATAAGTTATAAGTGAGTGAGCACTTTTGGGGAGCCACTGTAATTATTAAAAATTATTGATATATAATCACCTGAAACGGTTTTCGTTTCCTTAATGAAAAAATATTAAACAATACTTATCCAAGGTTTTATTGGTTATTCTGATTTTGTCATTTTGTAGGTACACTTTGAGCAAATACTACTTAAAGTAACACATTAAATTCAATAAAAACAATATATTCTGCAAGCTGAACATATTATTTTCTCCACGTCTTAATTTTCTTAAAATTAATGTTGTACCAGAACATTAAAAAATAATAAAAAAATATCTTGTTAAAAAAAAATTTCTTTTTTCAAGATATGTTTAAAAAAATGACATTTTGAATAAGATATTTTATAATACAGACACTTTTCTTGTACACATCCTACACTTTATAAGAAAAAAGGAAAAAAACACAAACCTGGAAATTTTAAGATTTTTACCTGGAAAAATCAGGGAAATTTGAAATCTGTTTTGAGTGGCCACCCTGTTAATTTAATGAAACCTTAGTTTCTCTCAATCATACTATCAAAATAAAAAAAAATATATAGGTAAGGATTTAAAAAAATTTTTTATACAGCAACCTAGTAGAAAACTGTGAACTGATAGTTCAACTTCAACTATTGCTCTTCTAATCAAATTATCCTAGTCTCTTTATCAAGTTGTTTATTTGGTTGGATAAATTTTATTTAATATGCTGATAGTATTGATATGTTTTTAATAGTAGTTTTCAGTAGAGTTCTTTGTCATTAAAAATGTTGTTAAAAACTTTATTATGTGTATGTATGCTTTGTATGCTTATATTAATGTTTTTTTTTTAAAATATTTTTGTGAGTGGTTTTATATTAAGCACTTGATGCCAATAGTTTTATTTTGTGTTCAGATACATGGAAGAAGTGATGAAAAGATTGATAAAAAAGTATCATATGGAACAAATGAAATTCAAGAGACAAAAAAATGGTGAATCTTCAACATCATACTTGTCATCTGAACCTTCAACATCTAGTGGAACCAATGGTAAAAACTAGAAGCTTTATTTTTCTTCACAAAATAATTTTTGATGTATTTTATTGACTATTTGATTAGAAATAACAAGCACTTTTTTTAAAACTGCTTTTATGAAGTATAGTTAATGTGGTTACCTGCCTACTACAACTCAACGCTGTCTGTCCGGTATCCCTTAGCAACATGAAACACAAAAACTAATGTTTTCTTTTGTTTTTTTTATTCTTCTTCTAATTTTGTATTTATACTTATATTAACAATCTGCTTTTCCTATCATCGTTGCTTGTTCAATTACGCTTTATTTATTATTATTCAAACTGTTTATTATATAAATTATACTATAAATTATATTATATTATGAAAAGAGTGTTTAATTATTTTTCTTAAAGATCGTACCTCCACAGTTAATGCTCAATTAATTGGTATATTAACTCATATGCTTTAATGACTATTTATGTATGAGCTATTCATAATCATATTTCTTTTAGTTCATTTATTTCTAGTTTGGATAATGACATACTGCATAGGTATTAAAGTTCAAAAGATCTCATAATTTATGCAAATGCATAAATTTTGTTTTGCTCTGTTTGGATTGTGGCAAGAATGTTATTCTACAAAATACATGCTTGAATAAAACTTTTTTATGTGTTCTATCATTTTTTCCTATGAATATTAATGAAAATATCTGAATGTACCTATTATTGATCTGTGGGAAACATTTTATACCTTTATCAATACTTTTAGTTTAAGTATAAATCAGTATTAAGACAAAGAAAATTATGTACTAATTACAATGAATTATTAACCACAAATTAGAGAGTTGTTTTGCATTGTTCGTTTTAAAGAGCATTGGTAAAAGTACTACTAATCTATGAATAATAGGCATTATGAATAAAGTTCTGTTTCACTGCACTATCTGGAATCTCAAAGATTTTCATTAAAATTTTAAAGGAAGTAGGTTCTTACTGCAGCTCATCATTGTGTTATATCACCTCAAAATGCCTCATTTAGCGATGAAGCAAACAATCATATTTGTCAAATAGTGAGGGCTCTGAAAGAATTTAGACTGTTGATTTCCGTAAGAGAAATTATTTACAGCAACTGTATTCAATAGTATGCCCTCAGCTGCAAGTCGTGCTCTTACATTGTTGTAGACTGCGAGAGGGTGTTCATTGTTATGAACTCAAGGAAAACTAAATTTAGATATCAAATGCATAGTAATAAAAAGATATCAAATGCATCTTCTTCTTCCTTATCCCCGAAATTAGCAGGGCTAAACAATGTCCATGAAATTCATGCCTCGGAGGAAGTCGGCCACCAAAAGTGGGTTATTTAGTATGTCCCTCTTGAGCTGTCCTAGACAGTTCAGAATATGTTGGGGAGAAGCCTGCATGTTGTGGCACCTGGGGCAGTTTGGGAAGATTTTAATACTACCCTTGAAGGAAAGAGGCTTAAGGTGGCCGCTGTTAAGCCTGATAAGCGCCGTCTGGTCCTTGAGGTTGCACCGAAGTGAAATGCATAATACAAGTGAATAAAAATGTGAAGAATATAATATTTGTGTGAATAAGCTCATTAGGGCTCAGTACAATTTTAATTAGCATCTGATGTGTGTATGTGTAAGAAAAATTAATGATAAAAAAAATATTTTTAGCATTTATTATTAATTGTAATTTGACTAAATTATTTTTGTTTATTTATTAAAAATATTTTTGTTTATTTATTGAACTGAGCAATATACTGTATCACCAGGACATTGCTCTAGGCTTTTGCTTTAGGGTTTTATTTTTGAGAAATTTAATTTTTATTTTTTTGAATTATTTTATTTTTGAGAAAAATATAAAAATTTGCAATGTTGGTAGAAAACTAACTTTATTTGTCGCCATTACTTCATTTTCAAGAATTTGTAACAGAAAGTTTAAAAGTCCACTTATAATTTAAAATCTGTACATGATCGAAAATTGTTTTCGTAACTTCAGAAAAATAAAAACCGCTTCAAAAGAACCCTCCTCCACCAAATTGGACAAACAACTGTATGAAAATATCAAGATCGTATAGAGAATTAAATACTCTAGCACTTTTTATGAAGGACTTTCAAATAGAAGTAAGGAAGAGAGAAATCATTGAATGATTTTATTCATGCATTGCCCAGTTTTTGACCTCTCAATATGTTATTGCTTTTAAACTGCTTTGCCTTACTCTTTCTTGCCTCTCATCCAATGAGCAGTTCGTTCTGGTTACAGAAACGAAAAACTCACAGGTATTCGATTTTGGGAAGTGTCCATTTTTGAAGTAATAAAATTTGTGAAGAGTCTGTTTTTGTAAAAGAAATTTTGTGAAATGTTTGAAAATGCCCCCCTCCCCCCCAGATAGAAACTTGATCACAAAGTTGAGTTAACTTGAATTGAATAATTGTGTTTTTGAAAGTTAAATTACTTTTACTTTCTTGACACATGGAAATTTTTAGAGTATAATTGTTTTGCCATTGGGTAGACACATGTCCTCTCAAAAATTTTTTATATGGCTATTGTTTTATTTTGTTGATAAGAATATTGCAGGAGGGCTTAATCTGTATTTAACATCATCTGATTATATATTTAAAAAGCCTTCAATGAAAGCAATTTTAACTCTTTACTTTATTAAACATCATTTCTCTTAAAATTGTGATGTTTCTTCAAATGCTTAATACTTTTGTTTTTTAGGCATAACATTACAGAAAACATAATTCATACCTTAATAATTTAAATCTAATCAAATATAATCTAATAAATGACTATATTATTATAATGATTGAATTTTGAATTTACATGTTCATAATAAATTGGTCTTTTTTTCCCTCTTGTATAAGTTATGGAATTATTTTTTTTCTCCATTAGAGAATGAAGTTTAAATTTTACTAAATTTGTATTATCTTACATAATGTTAGCTGGCATAGATTTTTTAAACATAGTCATTGCTACTTAAAATTCCAGTTTCATTTTACTGTCTTATGTATTAAAAAAATTCTGATTGAAGTTTACATTCACAGATTATCAATCACACTCTTTACTTTGCCGTCATTTTCTTCAAATGGCATCCATTGCATTGTCCATTGCCAAAAGTGGAGTGGCTGCAGCTCTAATGGCGAATGAAGAAAGGTCTTCATTTTTGTCTGGGGAACAGTTGCCTACCGTGGAATCTATGGTTGCCAATGCGACTGAAAACTATGGAATTGATATGCGAATTGTAAAAAAATGCAATTCTTCTGTCAAACAGACTATTCTGGAACAGGTTTTGTCATCTAAAGAGCCAACTTACAGTCAAACAGGGACTTCTTCGTAAGCCTTGATTTCTTTCCCCTTCATATTTTTGTTCATGATTTAGGTATTCATATTTCAATATATTATTGGAACTGCAATTATAGAAGAAATTTAGCTAGACTTACCAGAATTATTATACAAGGTGATTATAATAAAAATTACCCTATTTATTCCATCATCAAGTCTGCTCTGGTTGAAGGATGTTGATGAAATTTGGTATATTATACATTATATGTAACATGGGAAAAAGAAATCTGCAATAAAAATAAGTTCAGATTCCAATCACTAAGTGAGAAAAAGATGCATATAAAATGCAAATCATTTCAAATGGGTTCAGTTTATTGAATCTCAGCATTTGTTCAGCATACTGTGTTCATTATCATCAAATGCATGTTCAAAACGCCTTATAGCGAGTTTTATATAAGGGTTCTGCAATAAGCTTGCTTTTTGTTCTGGCCAGAAATAACTCAATACAATATCGATACATTAAAATCGATATTATTCAAAAAAAGTTAAGTGTAAAATTTAGTTAGCATATTTAAGGTTAGATTATGTGAAAATCTTGTAATTTAGAATTGAAACTATTTAGAATGTATGCTAAGTAAATCAAAATTCATTTATCCAAAGATAATTCAAGGCAAAAAATAGTTTTAAATAAGTATCTATTAATTTTTATTGAACGAAATCATTTGAATAGTTTTTGTAAAATTTTTTAATATACATTTTTTTAAAAACTATATATATGCAGTCGAACTTCTATTTAACAAACTTCCATTTTACGAATTTCTCTATTATGCGAATTTTTTAAAGGAACCAAGAACATTTTGGAACTTTCTTCGTGAAGTAACTTCCAAATAGCAAAGTGAATTTTCTATTTAACGAATTTTTCTTTGAGATCCACTTTTCCTATTTCTCAAAATATTTCAGAACATTTCAAACTTGTTAACGCATGGAAATGACCTTGAATTAATTTTTGAAGCCACTTAACTTTTAGAGCAGTAAAATCCCTTTCCCTTTTTTGTTTGCATTTCAAATAAGAAACTCCGACAAATTTAACGAATTTTATCAGTAGCAATTAAACTTAAGAATGCATGTTATAATGTATGTTTAAAATTACTTTACAGTTATAATTTTATACAGCAAATAAATGCAGCTATAATTTTATACATAAATTTAGCTTTTTTTAGTTGAAAAAGTATGCAGCATGATAGTGTAACGCTGGATAATGTTTTGCTCTATTCTTATGCAGATTTCTTTTATGGCTGAGATTTATAAAATAAATGGTAGATACTAGTTTACAAGATAAAGGTGTATCAATTGCTATTTTAATTATGGCTAGTTTTTATGATTTTAAAGCCTGTTTTGTGTTAAGTATTTCAAAAGGTGATTTCTATTTAATGAACTTATTATCGGGATTTTGCAACTTTGTTAAATAGAGGTCCGACTGTATATATGTACAATATATATATATTATATATATATATATATATGTGTGTGTGTGTGTATATACAGTGGAACCCCTATTTTACGTTGTCCGTTTTGTACATTATCCCGCTTCGTACGTCATTTTCTGCTGATCCGAGAAATTTGCCTATACCGATAATGTTAAAAAATCTCGGATTTTGCTTTACGCATTTTATGAAAATCCCGCTTGATGCGTTTTTCTACAAACAGATCAAAATAATTGTTTTATTCTATAATTCTCACACAAACTTTTTCTAGTTTTTTGAAAAAGAGAAACTTGTTTTTCAGCTGTATGGAGCAATTCTTGCATTCTTTCTGTTCCGTTTTGTCCATTTGTCAATAGCTGGGGGGGGGGTGAAGTTTCCTCTCTGTCACTATCGGAAGGGTAGGGGAAGACACAATTCACTGGAACCACAAGTGATGGAAGTATTACATCTACGCCTACTCTTCTCCCCGCTCCCTATCAACAAAAGAGAAAGAGGGGAAATTAGAGAGACAACTGTCAATAATGATCGAGTTTCACATGTACTCCAGACGTCTTACTGACGTTGTTTATTTGCGATACGAGGATAAGTCACTTTGAATAGAGAGGTGTGGTCGTTTCTTCAATTCTCCCCCATGAGAAATGGTTTCACCCTTTTTTCCGTGCTAGCATACCAAATGAGATTTCCAGTCGGTTTTGTTTGAGTTTGAAAGCTATAGCATTTTTTCTCATTTTCGAAACCTCAGTCATCGTGTTCTTTTCTGGAAAGAAGATGTCGAAACGAAAATGCTTTTCTTTGGCCGAAAAGGCTGGAATCGTCAAAAAAGCTAAAGAATTTCATGGCACTAAAGTTGATCTTGCTAAATCTTTGGGTATTGCTTACTCAACTTTGCAAACGATTTTAAAGCAAGAAGCTTCAGTAGAACTAAACACTGAGAAACTCGGAAAATATGCCAAGAAGAGAAAAAATTTTAATGAACTGGTTCAAGGAAGCCAGAGCAGCAAAGATTCCTATAAATGGATCCATCCTGAGAGAAAAGGCCCTTGAAATTGCTGGAAGGCTTAAACTCCAAGGCTTCAGTGCATCAAATGGCTGGATCGATCGATTCAAGAAAAGGAACAATTTATGCTTCAAATCTATCTGTGGCGAATCCGATAGTGTGGATATGACAACTGTGCAACAGTGGATAGAAGAAACTCTGCCAAATTTATTAAAAGGCTATAATCCAATTGACATATTTAATGCGGACGAGACGGAATTGTTTTTCAACCTATTGCCAAACAAGACTTTGACAATTAAAGGTGAAAATTGCCATGGAGGAAAGCTTTCAAAAATGCGCTTGACTGTTTTGCTCTGTGCAAATGCCGATGGAAGCCAAAAGTTAACGCCTCTAGTGATCGGTAGAGCAGAGAAACCACAGTGTTTCAAAAATATCATGAGTTTTCCTACCGATTACGCTTCAAGCAAAAAAGCATGGATGATGCAAGCATTATTCGAAAATTTTCTTCGAAAACTGGATAAGAAAATGAGTTTTCAAAAGCACAACATAATTTTATTCCTCGACCAATGCACTGCTCATTTAAACCTTAAATTGAAAAACGTGCGAATAGAGTTTTTTCGAGCTAACTGTACGAGCAAACTTCAACCACTGGATTTAGGAATTATCCAATCATTTAAAGAGAGTTACCGGAAGCAACTGGTTAGAAAATCTCTAATGTTTCTTGGTTCTGGTGATTTTCAGGATGCTTCTAAGGCAAAAATAAATGTTCTTGAGGCTCTTAATTTGATATCTTCAGCTTGAGACAGTGTCGACCGAAAGTGCATTATCAATAGATTCAATAAAGCAGGATTTTCAATATCGGAGGAGGAGGGCGCTGTTGCTTTGGAAGAAGAAGGTAGCGTGTCTGAAGTTGAGGATCTTCCGGAAGTCTATGATGCATACATCGACTGTGACATAGATCTCATTACTTCAGAAATCCCTTCCATTAGTGATTTAATGCCTGATTCCGACGATAGTGCTGATGACGATGAAATAACAGAAGATGTGCCAACAGCTGATCAAGTGACACAAAGCATAAAAACTCTAAAACAATTTTTACTTGCAAATGTAAATCAAGAAGCAAATTTGCAAAAAATTGTTAGTATTGAACGAGCTGTATATGAAATTGTACCTAAAAACAAAAAGCAAGTAGAGATTACTCATTTTTTCCATTAATTTAACTGGTAGGTGTAAATTTTTAAAAATATGCATAGATTTTTCTTAACCCCGATTTTACGTTATTACGCTTCGAGGGTTTTTTATCGCTAGTCTGACCAAAAACGTAAAATCGGGGTTTCACTGTATATATATATAAGTTCAAAATGAAGATAAAACAAAGGAAAATTATAGACATATGAAAAGGGGGGGGGGGGGGATATAATGAAAAAAAATAACAAACAACTAATTTAAAAGAAAAAGAAATAAAAAAAAGGATGAAATTTTTTAAAAAAAACCGGAAAATAAAAGATATAATCTTTTCATCAGCCCACACGATTATATCCGCAAAAAAGAGTGCTTCTGATATTGTATCAATATTGCCAAAACAAAATATATTAATACAATAGTGTAAGGAGCACTCAAAGAAATATTTTTTACAAAAATTACAGCAAATAAAATAGAACACAATAAGTAAAAATAACACGTAAAAACAGAAAATAATATAAAATAAAAAACGGTATGAAACAAAATCTATAAAGCGAGTAGCAAAATCAGATGTACTTACATGAACGGGAAATTTTTCAAGAATGATTTAAAAATATTTTCGCAACAAGATTGCCAGATTACAAAATATGAAAACAAAAGCGCAAATTGAGTGTAACTCGAGGAATTTAAAGTGCCGTTTTTTCTGCATTGCTGAAGTGATTTTGCACGGATTTGCCCAAAGTGGATTTGCACATGGAAAAATTATATAAATTATCAAAGAAGAAAAAAATTTAGTAGATAATTTTAACACGGATTTGCCCGAAATGGATTTGCACATGGAAAAATTAATAAAGAAATTTTTAGTAAATAATTTTACTCACGGATTTGCCCAAAATGGATTTGCACATGAAAAAATTATAAAAATTAACAAAGAAAATTTTTTTTAGTAGATAATTTTAGCCACGGATTGGCCCGAAATGGATTTGCACATGGAAAAATTATATAAATTAACAAAGGAAATTTTTTAGTAAATAATTTTGACCACGGATTTGCCCAAAATGGATTTGCACATGGAAAAATTATACAAATTAACAAAGAAATTATTTAGTAAATATGGCAACAGATTTACCCGAAATGGATTTGCACGTGGGAAAATTATATAATTTAACAAAGAATATGTTTAGTAAATATATCCACAAAAATATACGATTAATTCAATGATTTTATATAAAATTTATTACTTCAGTTGGGTATCCATTGTTTTTTATCAAATTTTAAAAGTGTTTATCGATTTGTTTTTTGGATAAATAAATATTACTACATATTCTTTTAATTCTGTTCATTTCATTAAAAGTGGTATTTAAATAGATGCTCCTAGAAACATTAGA